ACTACTAAGTGAAGTATCCCAAGAATGGAAAAACAAGCACTACATATACTCACCAGCAAGCTGGTATTAACTGAGCAGTTAACTGGCATTAACTGACATATAGGTACTACAGTAATAGCTTATTGGGCACATGGGAGGAGGGAGGGGGCGGGTATATACATACATACTGAGTGAGATGTGCACCATCTGAGGGATGGTCATGCTGGAAACTCAGACTTGTGGGGGAAGGGAGGGAAAGGGCATTTATTGAAACCTTAAAATCTGTACACCCATAATATGCTGAAATAAAAATAAATAAATAAATAAACATATGTTGATCTACAGTAATGAAAACTGAATTTCTGATGTGGAGACATAGCTCAAAGGGACAATCTAAAAAGTGCAGAAACACCCCAATACACATTGGAATTTAGTGTATGTGCTATACGTATGACAAAAGTTCAAAAGTCTAAAAGAAAAATAAGTGGTGCTCCTTGGTAACTGCAGGATTGGGTCCAGGATTCCTGCAGATACCAGAATCTGTGCTCAAGATGCTGATATAAAATGGAGTATGTTTGCATATAACTTGTACACATCTTCCTGTATACTTTAAATCACCTATATGTAAATAGTTGTTATACTTTATTGTTTTTAATTTGTATTACTTTCTATTGTTGTCTTGCTATTTTTAATTGTTTTTTTCCAAATATTTTCAATACTCACTTGGCTGAATCTGTGGATGCAGAACCCAACTGAATGTAAAAGAGAAATGTTTTGCATGGCAGAAAACAGACAGAACAGCAAAGTTCCCCACACACCTAGAAGTCAACGGAGAAAAACCACTGGAACTCATACCATCCAGTGACCTAATGTGCTTGATATATAAAGAGTTCTTACAAATTAGTAAGAAAAGAACCTAGTAGAAACATGAATGAAGAATGTGAAGTGGGAGTTTAAAGACCAAGCAGAACCAGTGGCCCAGAAGCCTAGGAAAAGACACCCAGTCTCATAATGTAAGAAATAAAACTCAAAACTTCAATGAGATTTTTTTTCATTTATCGGATTAGCAAAGATTAAACAGGTGGTAAAATATCATAAGTATGAGGGGAGACAGGCACATTCCCACAGGCTCAACTTGAGTGTGAACTGGCACAATATCCATGCAGTGCAACTGGGCAATTCCTTCCCATTTAATAAAGGCACAGGTGTTTGGACCCAGCAATCCCACTTTAGGGGAATATCCTATAGATATAATTTCATAAGAATATGCAGCATTACTCATAACGGCACAAGGCTGGGAAAAACTCAAATGTCTATGAAAAGAGGAACAGATTAAATGTGGTAAATCCACACAGTGAATATGACACAGCCATGAAAAAGAACAAGGCAGTTCGAAATGTGCTAGTACAGAATGAGCTCCAAGACACAATGCTAAGTGAAAAGAACGAGTGATATTATGCTACCATATGCAAAAAAAAAGCTATATACATGTCTAAAGTATATGCATAAAATATCTTTGAAAAGCTATCTGTGGGTCTCTGGCAGATTGTGGCCTCAGCCCTGCAGCCACCTGATTACGCAGGGAGTGTCAGGATTTGGTCTGTCTGCCCAAAGCCCTTCATTCATTTCATATACCTACGGTGCCGTGTGCTGGGAATATGAGAAGTAAGAGATGCTTTGGGTTCCCAGGACTGTCTAGTGGAGAGACAGAGACTCAAGCAGACACGAGCAATGTGGGTGGTTCTTGCCATGCTTGAGGGAAAATCACGGCACAGCACGGGAATTGCTAGGAGCTCAGGAACGAAACCATCCCAGGGACTGTGTCTGATGTACAGGTGGAAATATCTTCTGGGACAGTAGGGAAGTTTTTTGGGAAGTGCTGTTTAATATCCGAATAAAGAGCCCTACATGTCTGAATTAAGATCCTCACAAGTAGAAATCTCCTTAGATGCCCCAACATCCAGGAAATATGGCAGATAGCCTGCCCCTAATTTCTTGCCAAGTTTCCCTTTCTCGTCACCGAAAACTGTCCCTTAACTTCCTAAAAAGACAACAGCAGTCCTCGCAGGCCGCAGAAGAGCCCTGCAGAGGCATCCATAAGGCCATGTCTTCAACAGCTCCATGCAGACACCCGCAGCGCCCTGATGTAGGAGCCGCAGCTGAGAGGCCTGGTTTCTGGCAGGTCCCAATGCGCAGCCCCCGAGGCCTTGGCCTGCGGCCCTGAGGCCCCTTTCATGAGGGAGAAGGACTTTGTGAACCGGTCACCACTACTGGTGGTTTAGAAGTGCTGTCTTCCAATACAAAACAGCTGCACGGAGTGTGCTAAGCGTTGGGGCTATGTGGTTAGGACGGGAACCAGGCCGCCAGGATGTAAGAACCAGCTCAGGACGAAGCATGTGTCCACGCAGAAAAACCTGTCATCAGCCAAGAAGGGGAGGGAAGATGCCACACATTGACCACCGCTCTCCCCGGAAGTTAATTCTTTGCACGGCCCCACCCCAGCTCCCATCTCCTAGCTCAGTAGCTAGGAGCCCCCATCTCCTAGCTGGGGAGGGCCAAGTGTGCCACTTGTACTGGAAAGCCAACAGACAGCCATCCTGACAATCCGTCTGCCTTTCCACCCTCAGGCCTCATCTGTGTCCTTTGCTTTGAAGTTGGAGTCCAGAGAAGTAGGATGAAGGTGTAGCCACAGGCTATTTTAAAAATGCATGGAGTGAAAAAAAACCCACCAAAACAACAAAGCCTTCACTCGTCATCAAAGAAACAAAAATTAAAATAAGCTTTTGAGGTTATCAATTTTTATCTACTAAGTCAGTAAAAGCTAATTTAATTCCTGGAAACTTTGCAATAAAAAAAATTATGATCACTCTTGGTGGCATTGTAAGTTGTTAAAAGCTTTTGAGAAAGCAAGTCCTGAAAATGATTATGCCAGTTGATCCAATCATCTTGCTCATGGAAATTCATCTTAAGGAAATAATTCAATGGAAAAAAGCAACCTGTCTACACATGTTGCACCTAAATGCCCAGAAATAGGGGAAAGGAAAATAAATCCCAACACATTCTTTGAATGGAACAGTAACCGAGCATTAGAAATTATAATTGTGCAGCTTGCACTGAAAGTGGAAGTGGCTTTAAATAATATGTTAAGTGGAAACATTTGATGTCTGGTTGAAACTTGGTAAAATACGCATTCCTATGGTCAGGATTGGAAAATTTAAACAAACGAAAATCATGGGGTTAACAAAGTGGTATTGTGGGTTATAGCTTTCCTTTTTTCACAGATTTCTTTAATGATACAATTTTTTTTGCAATAAAAATAGAAGATTAAAAAACATATATTTCAGGAAATACAGCGCATGGTGTCTAATGAAGAAAGTAGAGGAACTGGCCTACTAATTAAAGGGAACTGTCTAGCTTACCATCACACCGATGAGGACTGAGAAAAACTCAGGCACTTGCAGCCACGATTCTTAAAGGGGGTGCCCACTTACACAGAGAGAATGTGCACTGTTGTCCGCACCTTGCTTGAATCCACAAATCAGAATGGTTATTGGGCAGAAATATCCAGGGGAGAAAACAGCACTTTTTCAAAGTTAAGGGAGATTTTTGGACAGGAAAATCAAAAATTCTAGGAGCTCCTTACATGAGTGATAGTTTGAACAATAGCTTTGCACCCCAAGACCAGCCTGGCCTGACGTCATAAATATGAGGGCTGTTGACAAATGATTTCCCACCTTGGGACCTGACATTGCAATTCAAGAGTCACATGAGCCTGCTTGAGCTGCAGGGCTTGGCCCCTGTGCTGAGCACAGACTTCTAGAAGCAGCCTTACGGGAAAGGAAACGCTTGGGTTTCACTTGAAGGAGGGTGAGTGGAGGGGGCAGGGCTGAGAGCCGGAGGGAAAGAATGGTCCCTTTCAACGCAGACAGATGCAGTCTGGCTTGGACTCAGCCTGGTTTCCAAAACACCCGAGTGGTCCAATAACATTTAAAAATCTGCACACACATTCAAAGTTGTATTTTAAATACCTCACAAGGACAGACAATAAATGTGATGGTTTTTCCATCCGCTGCACATGGAGTGCTTGCTGCCTCCCAAAGCTTTCAGCGAGCGCACAGTCAGCGTGCCATTGTGCAAACGCCCGACCTACGAGCAGCCACGCACACACGCATGCGCTGCCCGTGGCTCGCACGTTTCTGTTCTCTCCTCAGAAAGCTCTGAGCCTGCATTTGAGCTAAGTTTAGCATGGGCTGAAGGCCGCAATTGGAACGGCTGTTTGGACTGGTTCTGAGCAGGGCGACAGGCTTCTGTGAGAACAAACTCCCTGCCAATCCTATTGGTAAATGAAGAAGGCTATTGTTGGCTGGCTCAGAAACCATGCTTTGGTGGGGCCTGACTGGCGAAGATGACATGGAGTCATGGGGTTTCGAGGGCCCAGTGGCTGGTTTGCTCCTGGATGCCCCCATCCTCACGGCTCTTTTCTGCATGCTTTGAGCATCCTGAGTGTTCCTCAGGCAGGACTAGCCCCAGAGGAGCAGGGCCAGGCGTAAAGGGCCCTGGAGCACCCCCAGGAGCCAGCTGGATGAGTCAGAGGGAAGGCTCCGTAAATCAGGCCTCTTACAGGCATCCCCTGAATAAAACTGCTGCCTAAAGGCAGTGCAGCTCCAGGGCAGCACCAGGGCGGGTGTGGCTCTGCTCCCCATCTGCCCCCCAGGGAGGCCTGGAGGGTGAAACCGAGGTGGGCAGAGACTGTGCCAGGAAAAGTGGAGAGACAGGGGAGGGCCAGCAGGTGGGACTGGCTCAAAGGCCACGTCCAGTCTGGTGGCTGGGCAGGTGACCACACGGCTGCTAGAGGGCAGGCCCTCTGGAATCAGCCAGCAGCTGAGGAAGCAGGGCCCGGTGTATTTCTGCACTTCCTGAATATTCTCCCAGGGAGAGCGAGATGTTCTACTAGGGAGAGAACAAGGAGTTACAGAGCCCTGTGTCCTTCCTGCCATTTGGAAGGTTACGGTGCCCCTTACCTCTTGCATCCTTTTCTAAGAAGTGTGCTCTGTGCTGGCTGTTTGACTCCTCCTTCCTGCACTCTTTTCCTTGCTGTTTGGCTCTGTATGTGCTGAACAAAATGTGGCATATACTGGCAGTGGAATATTATTCAGTCCTAAAAAGGAAGGAAGTTATGTCACATGCTACAACATGGATGAGAATATTGTGCTAAGTGAAATAAACCAGTCACAAGAACACAAATGCTGTTTTACATGATTCCACTTACATGAGGTTCCCAGAGTACTGAGACTCCTAGAGACAGAAGATAGAATGGCGTTGCCAGGGGTTGGGGGGGGGGAGTTAGTGCTCACTGGGGACAGAATTTCGATCTGGGAGGAGGAGACGGTTCTGGAGATGGATGGTGGTGATGACTGCATAACATCGTGAATGTACTCAATGACACTGAACTATACACTTAAAAATGGTTAGGATGGAAAGTTTTATGGTGTGTATGTATCTTAACCACACACACACTGAGAAGGGGTTGGAGAGCAGCGAGCATGGAGCAGAGCAAACAGGCAGACTGCTGGAGGGGGCAGTGGACAGGGCAGGGGCAGATGGACATGAGACGCAGTGTAGACAGGATGGCCAAGGACTGAATGCAGGGGTGAGGAGGGACAAGACCCAAAGAGAAGACCTTAGTTTTTGATCCATACAACTACGTGGTACCATTTGTTGACACGGTAGCCACTGGGGAAGGGATGTGTTACAGGAAGAAAGCAAGTGTCCCTTTTTGTGCATACTAACATTTCAAAACCACTTCACTGAGATATGGTTGACAGATAATAAACCACACAAATTTAAAATGCCTGATTTGATAAGTTTTGACATACGTACCTACTAAATTTGAGATGTCTATTAAATATCCAAGTGGATATGACAAGAGGTCAGTTGGATACCTGGATCTGGAGCTCAGGGGAGAACTTGGAAACTGCCAGCATATGGATGGTATTTACAGACTCAAGACCCAACAAGAGCATATTGGAATACGAAGAGTTCCTGTCTTTTGAATACCACATGTGCTAGGTACTTTCGATCTAGCTTAGTCATTGCAACAGCCTAAGGGGGAGGAAGTGTACCACTGTGATAGAAAATGCTAATCATATGCCAACCTCCACTCTTCCCTCAATTCATAGAAATAAATTTTACCTGGGATTTGGATACCAGCGGGGCACTACCTCTCCCAGCCTTCCTTGCAGTACTTGGGCCAACAGCTGTTCTTCCTGTGGAGTGTGAGTAGAAGTAGCGTGGGCCAATTCCAGACTGGGGGCCACAAGAGAGTGTGAGTGCATCGTCAATGCTCTCTGCCCCCTTCTTACTGAAAAAAAATGGCAGTGACCACAGCCGCCTTGGAAGCCCTGGGCCAAAGATGGCTCTCATCCAGGGCCTCATCAACTGCCCTGTCAGAACCACCTGCCAAGCTGTCACACTTGCGTCACACTATCACGTGACAGAGCAATCAACTCTTATTCTTTAAGCTCCTGAATTTTGTTGGTCTCTTTGTTATAACAGTTCATTCTGCTGTATCTAATATTACAATTCATGGGTGTTGGGAGAAGTTAAATAAGATACCCAAGAGCACACAGCTAAGATCCAAATATTGTCCCATCTAATTTTAAAACCTTGACCCATCTATTGGCTCCAACCGACAAAGATGAGAGAGACAGTGGCTGTGGAGTATGTGGGTCCCAGTCGGAGCCAGCCCAGTGAGCACAGCCTGCTGAGCGCGGTGAGAGGCTGGTCCTGCCGTCGAGTGGAGGCAATCAAAGAGCATGTGGCCTGCACAGCTCGCGTCCCGGAGAAACAGTGTAGATGAGCTGCAGGTCTTCCTGCCAACCTCAGTACCTATGCGGGGGACCCGGTAGAGGTCATGTACACTAGCTCTTCTGTCTTCCATGTGATCCATACTCAGTTCTTCAGGATTTCTGGGAAATCTGATTCCCAAAGCCTGTCTTCAAGATGTCTGAGTGTTATGGGATCCTGATAAGAATGAGGATCTTTGGTTTTGTTTTCCATGACTACTAAATAGGCTGAGAGATATCACAAATTTAAAAAGTGCTCCTTAGATGGGCTGGGAAAAAGCAACATCTTGACTTTCATATCACAAAGCTGGGGAAATGCTTCCTGCTGTCAGCATGATGGCATCTATCCAAAAAGACAGGCCTGGGGACGATGGCAGAGTGGCCATAGGGCTGGCCTCCGCTGTCACACAAGGTAGACAGAGCCACTCCAGGCAAGCACAGTGGCTGACAGGACTTCAGGCCTCAGGGGTGCCTTGTACTGTTGCTTTCCACTGCCTGCTTTGCAGCCAAGGCCAGTCGAGGGAGCTAGGCTGGTGGTGGTGGCTGGAGCCTTCATCTGAAGGGTGAGAAGCTGTTGGATCTCTAGGACCAGTTCCAGCTCCAGGCCACTGCCTAACATACTGCCCAAACTGGGATGCCTATCAGAATGAAAGGAAACAATATTCATGGTGACCTGAGACAAATGGATCAAATGATACTGCTTGGACAAGCTTAGATGGATGGTCCCCTTGGTCCTATGAGTGCCTACGAGAGTCTCTGCCTTGACACATTGGCCTAAACCTGCTAGCACCTCTAAGGACCCCTCATTAATGTCTTTTCCATACAGAATGGCCCGGTGCTTTTTTATGTGTTTGCTTTGAGTCAGGTTGCAACGTTATACATTACTGTAAGGAATACACAAAGCCTTCATATTTTCATTAAGTGTCCAAAGCAAATGCTTTGTTTACATTTAGTCTTTCTTCCTGTGGTCTTGCAGGGAGAGCTACCCAGGGTGGTGGCATGGCAGATAAGTATAAAATCCTCAAAGGCAGATGCTTCTAAAGCTTAATGGAGTTTCTGACTCCTTTATGGGCTAAAGCTTGTAGACTGGTAAGTCTACCAGTGTGCTTCTTTGGATTTTCAACAGAGCATTTTGTGTGTCTTAACATCCACATTCAAGGACTTTCCCCACGGCTCAACATGGTGCTCCCAGGGTGAGCTGCCGGCTTCAGTTGCTGCATCATTCCCTCCTGCTTCCTTCCATGTATCTGGCTGGTGGAGACTGGAGCCAACTGACCCTGGTCCTCTCATTCTTGAAGCCAAAGTTAATCATCGTGCCCCTGCCTGACCTGTCTCGGTCCCTGTCTTCTCTTCACTGGAGTCCTATTGTTCTTGGTATTCCTCATTAAGGCGGCTTTCTCTTTCAGAACTCTGCCACCTCCTGCCTTCACCGATTTGACGGGACCTAAACATGCTTTTGGATCATTGCTCCTCCTGTTTCCTTCCTCGTGGCTCCTGCTGGTGTCTACCATGCTCTTGTCAGAAGTGCTGGTGCTTCACGGGGCAGAGATCCCAACTGGAGAATGAAGGAGAGGTCCCTCGTGTTACCCTGGAAGAATTCTCTAGCAACATTAACTTTCCTGTCAAATAGGCTCTGTTGTGTGCATGCTGGTGACTGTCAGCTTGCAGTTAGAGCTCAGTAAATCTTGTAGCCTTGAGTTGGCCCCTGGGGTATTGCCGTCCACCTCATAAAACTATTACTTAATTAACTGTGGCTCAGCATAACCTGCAGCCTCTGCTTCTGGCCACAGCACCAGGCTTGAGTGTGCACAGGGGCCCTTGCTGCATCTGTGCCTTGAGGCTGGTAGGCCCCTGGCACAGCAGAGAGAGCCTTCCATGCAGAGCAGAGGGGCAGGCCTCCGGGATCGTGGAAAGTATGCAGGGCGGTTACAGAGCTTCCTCCTGTGTGGTCCGAGCTCAGGGCTCAGAAGCCTCTAAGGGGCATGTTTTCGGCAAATTGTGTTTCATAGATGTGACATGATTACAAATAAATAACCAAAAAAAAAAACATATTTAATTGGGGAAATGCCAAGTAAATAGTCATTTAGAAATACTACTTAATGTGTATTCTGCTGGGGACTTGGACATTCAGACCCTATTATCTGAAAAATAACAGCTTCTAACTTTTCTAGTGATAGTAATGAATGTAACGGATGGATGTCAATGGCTTTAGATGACTACTTTTGAGCATAAGTCACAGAAAGCCACCAAATGATTGAAATTTGTAAAAAAATGAAGTTCACGAGCAACTATAAGGCCACATGATGATTAGAGGTGGGCTTCGGGCCTAGAGAGGGCCCAGCAAAGGGCCGTCGTGGAGTCGAGCAAGTTATGCGGGTCACCATGATAATGTTGGATCACATGATGGATAATTGGTTTTATTGTAGTTAACATAATTGAAACTTAGTTAATTTTAAAATAAGACCTTATGTAGTTTAATGCAAAAAGGGAGAGACTTCTGTCTAGATTATCCATAAAGTTCTTTCCAACTATGAGGACTTTTTAGGACATTTTAAATACTTTTTTTTTTTTAACTGGAAAATATAGCATACACAATAGGAAGAACATGAGCTTTGGAGTCAGATATGTCTGGATTCCATCCTGAGTCTGGGACTTGCTGGTCATGTGATTTTAAAATTACTTTCCCTCTAAAATTCATTTCCTTGTCATGAAAATGGCCTGAGATTCTTATCTTATGAGGTGGTGTCAAGGCTTAAATGAACGGTCACATAAAGAGCCTTTCCTCAATTTACCCAGTACATGTGGCACAAAATGCATTTCCCAATGATCATTTTATAAAATGCAGCGGATACAGAGTTGACCGTAAAACAATGTAGGGATTGGAGACCCTATGCAGTCAAAAATCTGCATATAACTTTTGACTCTCCCAGACCTTAACTACTCAGAGCCCACTGTTGACTGGAAGCCTCACCAATAACATAGACAGTTGGTTAACACAGATTTTGTATGTATATGTATTATATTATATACTGTGTTCTTACAGTAAAGTAAGCTAGAGAAAAGAAAATCACAGAAAATATATCCACTATTAATTAAGTGGGAGTGGATCATCATAAGGTCTTCATCCTCATCGTCTCCACATTGAGCATGCTGAGGGGAGAAAGGGAGGAGGAGGGCTGGTCTTGCTGTCTCAGGGGTGGCAGAGGCGGAAGGAAACCCACCTGTAGGTGGACCCATTTGGTTCAAACCTGCCTTGTTCAAGGGTCAACTGTATTCCTTTCTCCTTGCCTCCTGGGGTGGGGGCAGAAGAGTC